GTGCCGCGCGCCAGCGGCTGGTTAGGGACTCCACCGCATCCCGCCGCCGCGACAGTAGCTCCTTCTTCCCAGCCCGCCGCGCAGCATCTTCGCCCGCCGCTCGAAGCAACGCCGAGCGCCTCAGCGAGCGCCGCGAAAAAGTGCGCGCTTCACCACACCGCGCAGGCGCCGCTCGCCACCGCTCCTTTCCTCCTCCCACACCCGCGGGGAGCGTTAAATTGTTCCCGGGTTGGGGCGGCGCGCAGGCGCGGGGCCTCCCCTCCGCCGCCGGCCCCCGCGGCTTTTCCCGCCGTGAGTGCTGGGTCTCCTGTCAGGTGTCGGGTTCCTTCCGCGGCAGCGGCGGGAGGGTTCGTCTCTCCTGTAAAGGAGTCCCGGATAAAAGGGTGCCTCTTCTGTTTTTCTGAGTGTGCAGGACGCAGGTGGCTGGACTTTATAAAACAGGGAGGTGCCTTGCAGGTGTCATTCCTGTAATTCCCTGCAGTAATTCCAGTTCCCGTGTAAAAACCGCAGTATTTACATAGAAGAGACTAAACTGTTTTGCCGCGACATCCAATTCCTGGATGAACCAAATGGTTGACTGCTAGAAACTTGTACTTCCAGTTCGGTATACAGACTGCGACATACAACGTTGCCAAGATGGAATAAAAGTAAAATATCCCCACAAGGGTTTTCCACGCTGACAAGGCAGGCAGCTGCGCTGGATGCCATTACACCATCACTAGCGTGAGGGAGATCCTTTACCTCAGCTTGGCTTCACTGAAGGTGCAATATTACTGTAAGCTATATCTACAGTTGTGTATAGCTATGGAAGGGTTAGCTTGAATTGACCTTTAAGCAATTCTTCCTTGAGCTAAGTACTTTCGGGCTATTTTTAGTTTGGGTTAGGACAGGGTGGAAGGCTTGTTATAGGAACACTGGGGTGTCGTCTTGCTCTGTAGCAGGATAAAAAAGCCTGCACAGAGGTTCAGCATTGATTTATGATAAACGCGCTGCGAGGATAAGACAGCAGCTGCATCTCAAGAAGAGCTGAAACTTCTGACTGCTTGAAAATGAGCATTGCGAATAGCACAGGCTGAAGAAGTGCTGCATGTCAGACGGCCTGGATGCTGAGGAAGAACATAGAGAAAATCTTCTACATGATGAGTTTGTTGACTGGACATGCTATGGGTAATGAAAAGTATAACATGGATGCTTAAAATCCTAGAAGCACTTAGGATTTGGCAACAAGAAGAAACCGATCAGCAAAACTACCCCAGTACAACTCAACATGTGTGTAACAATTTGTATTTCTAATTTGTTTGGTGTGAAAAGGGTTTAAATTAAATGAAGCTGTCCTTTTCTGGAGTAAGACTGATCAGACAAATTGATACTTATGTTGGTAAACTGTCTTGTGTAGATGTGGTATTCCTTGTGTGCACAATAGTAATAGATAGAAAATTGGTCTTCTTGAGAAGACAAAACAGTAAAGGATTAGCAAAAAAATTAAGTGAGCAGATTTAGGCTCTTTCCATTTTAGAATTGCAAGGATATTGCCCCTTTTTTCACAGGGAGATTGTAAAACATAGTGGAGAGCTGAGTCCGCTGAGAATATAGTTATCGCCATTGCAAAAAAACCCAACCAACCAACCAAAAAAACCCAAAAATAAACTGCTGTTTAAAGCCAAAGAAAAGTAAGACTGGTATGCAAAGTATAGAAACATTCTGCTTATTTTTTTGGCTAACATTTGTTTGCT